GATGAGGGCTCCCCTCAGCCTCCTCTGCTCCAGGCTGAACCCCCCCAGCTCCCCCAGCCGCTCCCCAGCAGCCTGGGGCTCCAGACCCCTCCCCAGCTCCACTGCCCTTCTCTGGACACGCTCCATCAACAGAACATCTTTCTCGTGATGGTTCCCAAAGAGCAGGGTTTGCTTTTGATCGCCAGGGTTATTTTCAAGGGCAGATAATTATTCTTCTAGGTCACAAATGCCCAAGCGTTCAGGCATAGACCAGCTCACTGTTTCCTCTTTGACTAAGCTTATTCCAAAGCTGAGCTTAACTAAGAGTTAACAGTGTTTCTGCCAAAGTATTGACTCGGTCCCAAATCCAGAGTTCCCACTTGCTTGGCTGTAGCTGCCAAAGTGGCTGTGATGCTTTTTATGTATATTCAGAGCCTTTATTTTTTGTCGAGGGTTCTATCATCACACTTTATTTCACGTAACTGCCTGGGGCTTGGGGGGGCATTTTTTCCGAAGGAAGCCTTTACAATCCATGCCTAATAACTGCTTTTCTAACTAAAATACTGTACCTTTATGTAAGTGCATAAAAAGTAAATGTAATTGGATTATGCAAAATAATCTCTACAAATGAGGTTTTAAAGCATCAATCAGGAAGTTGTAGGTGTCCCAAGCTGAGCGACTCCAACGGTGCCGCTATGCAGCTGAGGCAGAAAGGTCTCGTACAGAGACGACCTACTGGAGCCCTCCCTCACCTCCAAACGGCAGGGTTATAGAGGAAACTCCTTTACAGTCCAATTTTTAACTGTAGGATTTCACTTTGCCCATTAAATTAACCCATTAGGGGTTTTGTGGCTGCTCTTGTTCACCACGGGCTGTTACTTCGATGCCTTGTTATTTCAGTGCAATTTGTTTCCCGCGCCTTCGTTCAAGGTTACCATCAACCGCCTTTTTAGTAGGGGTTCACTTAAAACGTTGGGGTTTGTGAGCGTTACCTTCGGTTGCCTCTTGTGCTGATGTTTTTGAGAGATGACAAGCGCCCCACGGCCCTTCCTGAATCATAGAATCACTTTGGTTGGAGAAGACCTTTGAGATCATCGAGTCCAACCTTTAACCTAACCCTGCCATCCCACCACTAAACCCTGGCCCTAAGCACCTCATCTGTCCTTCTTTTAAATCCCTCCAGGGATGGGGACTCGACCACCTCCCTGGGCAGCCCATTCCAGAGCCTGACAGCCCTTTCAGTGAAGAAGTTTTTCCTAATGTCTAGCCTAAACCTGCCCTGGCAAACCTAAACCTGCCCTGGCAAACCTAAACCTGCCCTGAAGGGAGTGTAGTGACTTTGGGGGGATGAAGAGGCTTTTCCTTCGGTGTTGGGAGCATGTATGGAGTCAGCTCTCACGCGCAAGACTTTTCTCACCGCACGGAGAACCGCAAGACTTGGTTTTTCTCTTCTGATCGCTTCCATGTTCCCTGTGAATCTCACGATCATGTCTCTTCGCTGCTCTTGCAGGTCAGATGCCGGGACCCGGTTCCATGATACCCGGACAGCCCATGCCAGGCCGGATGATGCCAAGTGTGTCAGCCAACATCCATCCAGCCGGTGGTGGTCCCCCCCCACCCGGCATGTCACCGATGTCAGGGAATCTAATCGGACCTCGTGTTCCTCTAGCAGCTCCAAATGGCATGTGTAAGTGGATCTCCAGCAGAAAACATTCCGAATTTACCTGGTGTGGCTCTTCTGTCGCTGGCCTTGTTGCTGGCGAAGTCGCTGTAGTTGAAACCCCTTTATCCGTTGTAGGAATAACGGGATCTGTGCACGCTGACAGCCAAAGATGGGTGCCAGAGGTGTGCTTGAAGCTTTAAGTGCTTCTCTCCCCTCTAGGCATCCAAATGTTGTCCTTTATTTTATTTATAACATCCCTTATTTTATTTATAATGAGGCTAAGGTTCTGTGTTCATCATCAAAAACCTCTCCTGACTTAGTCTGGACGAATGCACAGTAGAGGTTCAGGAATTAACGTCTAAATCCTTAAATAGTGGAGGTCAGAATACAATTCAGTTCAGCGATACCTTCCTGAAAACTTAGCACTGTGAAATTAGGAAGAGGAAATCCTAATTAGGAAGAAGCAAAATCATAGAATCACAGAATCGTTTAGGTTGGCAAAGCCCTTTAAGATCATCAAGCCCAACCCTTCCCCTACCCCTGCCATCCCACCCCCAAACCCTGGCCCTCAGCACCGCCTCTGCCCGGCTATTAAATCCCCCCAGGGCTGAGGACTCGACCCCTTCCCTGGGCAGCCCCTTCCAGCCCCTGACAGCCCCAAGGGGAAGGAATTGTTCCCCATGCCCAACCTCACCCTGCCCTGGCACAACTTGAGGCCGCTGCCCCTCGTCCCATCGCCCCTTCCCTGGGAGCAGAGCCCGACCCCCCCGGCTCCCCCCTCCTCTCAGGCAGTTGTAGG